CTAAATTCTTTCCAACATCTATGAAAAATAGATTGAGTCTCTCAGCCTTGTTGTTGTCATTAACAAGTTCTTCATCATTTGCCCCTTTTAGGGTTCCGATTTTGTAGGGCCGGTGTTTTCCAATGGCATCACACACAGTCTTTCAGAAAGACTTAGAGTCTTTGAACTTGGCAATCTTTCCTTCCGATAAAAGGCCTCTGCTTTATGCATTAGCTTTGTTACCTCATTTCTTGCATGTCTATACTTGGCCCAGGTGTCTGCAGTCAGAGAGGAACCATCACAGGCTCTCAGTAGTTTGTATCTGTTGTTGATAGCTTTAAGTAATTCAGAATTTATCCAAGGCAAAGAGAACTTCCTAATTTTGACATCACGGGGAGAGACATAATCATCAAGGATATCCCTGTACATACTTTCCCACGCCCAGGAGATGTCATCAAACACAGAGCAAACCCACGAGGGGACGTTTTTTAGTTCATGCTTAAAATCAACCTTTTTTCAGTTAACTTCTTGTAACTGTACACTTTCTTCAAAATAGGTCGTTCGCTTTGTTTCTTTAACATAAAAACAGCAAAAAAAAACTTGTGATCGGCAATACTATAATCAAGAACACCAGATGTAAAAATTTTAGGAAAATTATTGGTCAAAATCAAATCAAGACGGGTACTTGAGGATTCAGCAATTCTCGTGGGGCGGGTTATTAAATTTCGGTAGTTGAAGGCCTGACAAATACGTTTTAGCATAGAACTACAACAATTGGGAGAGAGCTGATCGGCGTTAAAGTCACCAGTTATCACAACATTTTTCTTTGTAAGCCACTTTTTTTTCCATAACATTGCGAAATTTATCAAAGAAATCAGTAAGTTCAGGAGGTCTGTACACACAACCAACAGGCAGTCGCTGGGAGAATGCACATACTTCAATCCAGACAGCTTCAAGATTAGAACATCATACTTAATGAACCGCACACAATTTAAATCATCTTTAACATAAATAGCAACTCCTCCACCAGCTTTTCCAAAGCGGTCTCTTCGTAACAGTTGATATCCAGCAATACAAATCTCGGGTCAGTGGTGACCTAAGATATAGACTGCGGTGGGCTTAAGTAAGTTCATTAACGATAAGTACTGTGCAGCCTTTAGGAGTCGCACCCTATTGAGAATATCACTCTTTGTTTAATAGAGTAGTTGAATTTGTAGGATTATAGTGTTTTCCTGTCGGTTAGATTATACCGTAACAATATAAAAAAACCGTACTCCGCACCCCGCACAACCCCATACTCCCCGAACTTCTTTTGGTAGTTGACTCCACCTGGTCTTTCATCAAATTCACATCCTCTTACTCTCCTATTGTAACCCCGTCGTGCCAAGACTTATGGGGATCGCTGTATCGTTAAAGAATTTATTTCCTCGGATGTTGACATATTCATTCATACACCTGACATTTACACCATTCGATAGTCGTTACAATGTCCACTCCATTTCATCGTTACTTTGAGTCATAGCAAAATTGGCCTTCTTGCCCAAGGAGAACGATTGCATTAATGCCGATACAAAGCCAGGTTCTGACTGCAAGTCACATTGAGCATTGCATTGAAAATTCCGTTCCTACCCGATGTCGAGGCACCGTTCTTAGCTATGTCTTTGCATCTTCTTCTCACACCGCTGACCAGAGTATATGACAGGTACATTGAAACCTGGTGCTTTGAGTATCCCAAATCTCCCGACATACACTTTTTCATAAAAGGCTCATAAAATTGCGTGCGCCCAGCGACAAATTG